GGACTGGTATTAATACTACATATAAAACGTGCATTTGTGTGTGTGTGTGCGTGTGTGTGTGTGTGAAACTTTTGTCATAGAAGCTTACAGTTTGTACACACTTGGAAGAAAATCAACTGACACATTTCATCAAGGAGGCTCATGAATAAGATGAGAGTGCTTAGGATAACAAACCACAATAACACAGTAATTTAAAATTGAAGATGAGCTGCCCCCTGGGCTCTACCTAGAGGAAGTAATCAATGGAAACTTGGATGAAAGTAAAAAAGAAAAAGGCTTTTAAAGATTTGCATATGATACTTATCCTGCTGCCTCTGTTATGATCCTTAGAATTAAATATCTAGTCTTACTTATCTCTGAAGGGGCTGACTGATGAAACCATGAACCATGACAAGATTCACCTTTCTGGTGCCCTGTGTGAGCTACTCTGAGGTTGGAGCATGTGTTGATTTGCGCTATGACCCCTTCTCTGTCAATGCTTTTCTTTAGTGCCTTCCTACATTGACTCTGGATTTGGCAACAGTAGCAACTTTAACATAAACTTTAATCCTGTTCTCATACTTTCAGCTTCTCTTGGACCCTTAAAAGGAGAGAAATGCCTGGACTATTCTGCTGAGAAGATGTAGGAGACTTATATCAATCCACATGCCACACACCAGCTGACCTTCCTACAAGCATGAGTAATTCTAGCCAAGACCAGCAGAACCACCCAACCAAGTTATAGAGCCATACAAACAATAAAGTTGTTTAAGCCACTTACATTTTGGGTTATTGTGCAGCAACAATTACTGAGAGAGTGGTCAAGCTGGTCAGACCATTGCTTGATTTGTTCTGCCTCTGAAATAACCTGGATGGGTTAGGGCCAACTACTATAAGGAGTATGGAAAATGGAAATTTAAGACTGTGGTAGTAGTTTCTTTACAAATTAGCAAACATGACGTTTTTTGAACTGGATCCGAATCCCATAAGCTAAATCTGTTTACCTTAAGTTTATAATCTTCAAAATGCATGAGATAATATAGTTTATCTCTCCATAGAATAATATGTCCCACCCCATCATATTCATTTTCTTTGTGTTCCTCCGTTGATGGCTAATTACATAACTAAGCCTAAGGCTTTCTAAAGTGGAGATCCAGAGGAATGCACTCTGTTCCTCCGTTGATGGCTAATTACATAACTAAGCCTAAGGCTTTCTAAAGTGGAGATCCAGAGGAATGCACTCACACCTACTGCTTAAGGTCAAACCACAGAATGTTCTAATAGACTTGGATAAGCAACTGAAGTCAGTATTTGCTGGCCTTCCGCTAGATGCCCTAATTAACAAATCTGAATGAGTGTTTCTTCCCAATCAATGAATTGCCTTCAAAAAAAGCTTTCTCTTTGTATGGAAATTCTCCATTAAAAACAAATAACAACAACAAAAAAAAACTTTTTTAAGTCCCCAGTGCTTGCTTCGAAATATTTAGAGCTACCCTGATTAAATGTACTCAAATGGCAACTGTTTCCAAAATGATGACTTCTACCTTGATCCTTTAAAAAAAAAAAAAAAAAAAAAAAAGGCAATCCCAAGGCACTTTGTCAAATTATGTTAACCTGTAGTAAAAATTTTAAGGGCTAGGGGTGTAGCTCAGTGGTACAGTGCTTGCTGATTATGCACAAGGTCTCATGTTTGATCCTCAGCATTACAAAAAAATTCTAAAGACATTCCTACCTTTCCTTAAAAATTCATAATTTTCAACGTCAAACCAAGCATATGAATTATACCACATTCATATATTCTGAGAACTTCTTGCAAATCTTGGTACTTAAAGTACGGTCCATGGACCAGTAGCATCACTACTGAAGAGTAGGCATTGAAGCAAAATCCACAAGAGGTTATTTTTCACTCTTACTATTTTCACTTTGTATTTCACTTCATCTAAAAGATGAAGTCTTTATATTTAGCTGTAACGAGGAGACCATAGTGACAGGGTTCCCTGTTATTTTCAGCAGCGGGCAGCCAGTYATAACAGGGGCAGGGAGACGGGGAGGGGTGCTTTGAGAAGTATTGATCTTTCCCATGTACATACACACAGAGGCTGAATGAGACATTTCTAGACATTGACTTACATTTGCTGTTATGAACCATGACCCTTTATTTCTTTGTGCTGTTCCAACTGCCCTCTTTCATAATCCTGCTAGGTAAGTAGCAGTCATAGCTCCAATAACATTTTACCCCACATTTACATGCCCCCCCACACCCATTAGACCAGACAGCATATATTTTGTGAACAGGAACTGAATCTTCAACTTTTTAAATCTCGAAGTTAAAAATTATGGTTGGTAAAGTGTAGGCGTATCCTCCTCTTAATACATGAAAAGAATAACTTGGTCACTGATTAAGTAACCAATTCACTAAACTTCAATACATGCAAAAATCTTATCTACTTGTTTTAAAATTATACTGTTTTCACAGCCAAGTCAATTTGTTTCTCCTATAGTCCACTTCTGTAAATTGGACTTTATTTAGTTCATATGATAGAAAAATATTCATACAAAATGATTCCTGAAGAGGACCTTTCTTTCTACTAACACTTAGTTCTATCTTTGAATCCCTAGTGATGCCTACAGTTTCTGGTACATAACACACACTAAAATATTTGACTGAATGAGTTACTTTTAAATTACCATGAGGCTATAAGCATGTTACAAGTAATGGGGGAAAAAAAAAACTCCAATGCAAAACATTTTAATAGGTTGTCAAATATACACAGTTATTAGAATTATCTAAATATCACTTATAAAAATTGGTATATCACATTAGATGATTCTATAAAACAAAAACACAAATCACACATTGACAATAACCCCTGCAGTCCAAGAATAACCCCCATCAATAGTACAAATTACAAACACACTAAAAGAAAGAAAAAAAAACTAAAGACATTACTTAGACATTTAAACCAAAGTTACTGTGACTAAGTACATTCATTCATCAAGTACAAGAAATTTAGCATTGCTGCTTATAGTCACTAATAACACAATTTTAGGTGCAATTTCACATGCTTTCATAAATCTTCCAGTACAGTTCCCATAGTAAAGTGTCTGTGTGCACTCCATTTTCATTTATATGCAGGTGTATCATACATCATACTTAAGATTATTTCACTTTATAATTACACTGTTTATATATATTTTAGGCGAACACCAGGCCAAAATTTAACCCCAATGATGACATTAAAAACAATTCTTGAAAGTACAAGCCAATTTGTTTAATTGAATGAGTACCTTTTCCTCTTACTAGAATCCATCAAATTAAGCAATAAGAATTTAAAACATTAACAAAAAACGATGACTCTAATTTTCCTGAAATATTAACAATTTTCCTGAACTATTTAAAATTTCAATAAAATCACTGAGTCAAAAYGTTAATTTCATATTTAAAAAAATTTTTTTGTAGTACTAGGGATTGAACTCAGGAGTGCTCTACCACTGAGCTACATATCCCCAGACTTTTTATTTTCTTTTAAATTTTTGAGATAGGGTCTCCCTATATTGCCTGGGGTGGCCTCAAATTCATAATCCACAGAATCCAAAGTCTCTGGGATTATAGCATGAGCCACCACAACCCCCTACTGCCAAATTTTAWATACCAGTGATTTAAGATTGAGGCTTAAAATTACTTGTACTAAACTGTAAAATACAATTTTAAAATGTGCAGTTAATGTGCTTATGAATATGTAATGGAATGTGTTTTTTTCACAGTAATGTTATGTTAAACACTACTCTAAATGGACAGTCTAAGTAAACGTACCTTTACCACCAAGAATATTGAAAAATTAGGCTTTTTTACACTATCAATAGCTACTACCCAAACTCAAGAGTCAAAGGAAGTTTACAAAGCTGCAAAATTATCTAAACTTTGTAATGGTTAGTTGCCTCACCTTAATTCAGTACTTATTAATCTTTACACAAGCTCAAAATGCTAGTTATCTTTAAATGCATTTTTCTCTATATCTCTATTTAAATTGAGTTCCTACACCACTTGGCCTAGACAGGATGCTTAAAATAGTTAGGGCCTTGTCTGATTAGTTCAAACTGTATACTAGGTGCAGGGATTACAAATGCTTGGCACACATTACATCYGATGTTTTTGAATAAACTAAGGAGCCTGGCCTCCAAAGGAAACTGTACTTGTTTCCCAAAATATTAATGAGTAATTACTACATCTTCAGATAATCAAACTGACAATTTTTTAAGAAGAAATTGATGCCTCCTGGGCTATTAAAGACATTATAAGATACAATAGGAAGGAAAACTGAAGCTACAAATATACCAAATCAAGGTTAAAGGCACTGGATAAGGAATAAAATTACAAAGCACTGTAAACAATTTTTAAAGCAAATCAAGTTTAAATGTCAAACTCTAAGATAAAATGGTACTAAAAAGATGACAATGCTTTAAAATAGTGGACACGATTTCTGTAATTTCATGATAAAATTATTTCATTGTTCTAGTTTGYTTATCCTATAATATTCCAATATCCTTAAAAGATAAAATTAAAAATGTGTTTCCAGGTTCCTGAAGCAAGAAAACTACAACTCAAAGAACTATGGAAATTAATTCCTTTTCAAATATTATAATTTGGTAGAGACTTTACAGACATGATAAGAATATCTTGGAAATCATAAATACTAAATTATACTTAATCCAAAATTCTTTAAAAGTTCTAATTCAGTAGAACAGTCTTGAGGCCCACAGTAGCAAATTGTAGTGTAAAGAGGCATAATAAGTACAATCTTTCCAGACACATAGAACAAAGAATCATGAATACCAATTTGAAATACCACAAGCTCCATGTTAGAGCCATTTAATATACACATTTTCATAATTATTTCTTGAAAAACTATTTAGATAAAATATGTATCATTTATCGTGATTTTAATTTATTTGAATCTATGCAACTTCCATCCATATTAAAATATCAATTAATGTAAATACTTTATTATAAAACTATTTTACAATTTAAATTTCATTTGAGAAATGTATTCACATCCACAATTTCTTAAAAGTCCTTTATATGAGTGCATTTCATARGAAATACACTAACATTATTATTTATGTTTCCTAGGGGAGAAAAAAATTAATAATCCTATTAATCCAAACCATATCATTAATTTGCTTATTTCTTGAACATTTACATGTTCAAACATGTTTGCTGAATAGTGATCATTCATCCCCACAGTGGCATACTTCCGCATAATCTTAARACAGGACTAGATAATAGTCACATGTAGATTACAGAAACAGATACTTATTCTGTTACATACAAGCTTACTTATAAAGTAATAACATAAAATGGTCATTGGGTAACAGTGATAAAAAATGTAAACAAAAAGAATTAAATGTTAATCCCTTCCCTGAAAAACAAAGATAAAAGCACTTCTTGTTTTATTAAAACAAAACATGATCTATTTTATCAGAAAGGCAAGACATTGACTTTACAAAACTCTATTTCCAAATACAGATAAAGAAAATCTAGAACAGCTGATTCAGACTTTATTGAACTAAAATGTGCAAATAATCTGATAATACTTAAATTTATTAAATTTAATGTACATAGGCTGACACAATCCCATACAAAAATCCTCTGAAGATTCAACATAGTGTTCATTTATATGAGCTTAACACTATCTAAGTAACAACAACAACAAAAGTCGATATTGAAGAAAAAAAAGAGTAAAAATAAAAAAGTTTCTATTAATTAAGACTTGAATTTCATTTCCACAAAAATGTATGGCCAATACCCACTTGGGAATACAGAGAAACATTACATCCCAAGGAAAAATATTTTACACTAATTCTAAATAAAAATAACAAAATGCATATAAAGTTATGCCAGTTTAAAAGATTTGCTAAGTATAGTATTCATAGAAATTTATCTGGTGACTTTGTTTGGACTTAGATATTTGCAAAGTACCCTCAGTGAGAGTTGGGAAGCTAAGAAACAAAATTTCCTCCATACCACATAAAAATGGCACTTGGATTTAAAAGTTTAAATTGTGATTCTGAGGTAAAAAGAGGAGGAAAAGATCTTAAATCATAACTTCAAAATGTGTTCCAGGAATATGGTAAAACTGCTCAACTACTTAGATGTATTACTAGTGAATCAAAGTGCTTTGAAAGCATTAACATCAAATTATTTTCAAATTTAATTTTAAAGTCTTACAAGTTTTCAATGAAAAAATACCTAGTTATTTTTTAAAAGGTGGTGTGTGTGTAAAACAAAGGTAATATTTACAAATGTGATTTTGCCTCTGCCCCCAATAAAATTAGTTTCTCTTTAGATATGATCTAAAGCTGTTACGAATAATAGTGAAACAGAAGCACAGATTTAGATATGCTCCAAACCCTATACAATGTACTAATTTACACACAGTATTTTTAAAAACACTTACATGATCAGATGCTGTTTTTCACTGCTTAACCAAATTCTGAGAAACACTATATTTAGCAACAAACGTCTATACCACTGCTTAACTAAGTGGGACCACAAATACATGAATTTTAAAAGCAAAACACTCTAAAATATTGTTTAGAGGAAAAAAAAATTTCAATCATTCACCTTTTTGAAGCCTCTGTTTGAGAAAAAGTATTATATGTATACCTACATATCATGTAATGTCTTCTCACATTGTAGTAAATATAGATTCCATTTTTGCCACAAAAGAACTTGCAATAAAAGAATTTTAAAGAAAAAATTTTGTTTCTTGCAAATAATTTCTCTCTTCTGACCCTGGTAAAAATCATCAGWGCCTTTAATTTCAAGATATTTGTTGTTGTTGTTGTTGTCCATTTCCGTTGTGTATTTCACAAAGTATAATATTTTGTATTACATAGATAAATGAAAATTAAATGGAAAAACCTGCTTTTGGAATGCAACAATTCTAAATCATTTCACTAAGAAGCACCTTTTGATATGCTGGTCTGAACTTTTAATATAAAACCTAAATGGTACTTATTTCTGAAGTAGAATTTTCTCCAGTTTTAATAACTTTATACATAGCAATACTAAGGATATCAACCTGTGCTTTCTAGATTTTRAAGGTGTTCTAATTATGTCATAGGTTAGATATGGCTCATTTTCAAGTTTGGGTGGACAGATTTCATGATACATTGGCTACAGAAAGCTAAATAAACTCTTACTGAATAATGGTTTGCATTTTGCTTGAGCCAAATAGATGTTTAGGCCATGTACCACCACATTCCCTGCTTAACATTCCTGCTTCTTTATTCTTCATAGTTTTCTAATGAACAAATTAGTATTCCTGAGTAAGATTATAAAAAAGTTAACCTTTCTACCAAAAGTATAAAGACAAATAAAATGTTGACTCACAATACAAAGTTTTTACACAGCATTACAGGTGCAGAGATAATGACTGCTGCTCTTTATGATGATTTGTCCACCCCTTAAAAAGACTGCAGCAAAAGATTCAATTGTCTAAAATACTTCGAAGTACAGTAATTAAATGCTTTAGACCATAAACATATCCCTCATCTATTGTGTTGCTAGGAAACACATGAGCAAAATCTATCATTCGAACTTCTACTTCCGCAATCTCTTGGCAACCAGTGGGAAGATGGTAGAAAACTTTTTCCAGTTGGGAAAGTACATTTCCATTTAAATGTTCCTGTGACATGCTTTTCCACCCATTGTCTTGCTCCATATTTTCAACTTTCAATGCAGTCTGACTGTGATGTTTTTTTGAATACATTTTTCTGTGACGAGCATACATCTTGGATAAGCTTTTGCCTACTGAAGCCTCTATTTTTCCATTTGCTGTGGAACTTAACACATGAAAGTTATTGTTGTACTCCAGTAACTCTGTGTCTGACAATTGTCCTTTGGACAAAAACTTTTCTGCCAAAGTTCTGTCATTTGATTTTGTAGTGGTTGGCTGAGATGAACCTTCATAAACAAATAGTAATGAACTTGCATAAAAGCTAAGCTGCTTCTGGCTTTCAAACCACTGCAGAATTTTCTCAATCTTCTGWATACTGGCAGCAATAGCATCTTTTCTTAGACAGAACCCATTATGAAAAAACTTGGAGACTCCTATAAAACAATACATTAGGATTAGAATTAATGTATAAAATAGTTATCATTTGGAAAGTGGATTCATAGTAGATAAAATTCTTCGTATTTTCCCCACCATTCTTACAGTTACTTAGCTAAATTTGGAATTCTAGGAATTCCAGTTAGACATAGAAACCTTAGATCTCAATTTTTGGTGATGAACTCATATAAGAAAACATTTAAATGACACAAATGTAAAGTGAAATACTCCAGTCAAATAAAAGAAAAAAGAAAAATAAATTTATGACAGGTAGACTGGAAGTTTAGTTCTATGTTTTCTCTGAAGAAATGCCATTCCAAAATTTGCTACTGTGAGGAATTTTATGGAAAAAAATACCTGTTTGTTAGAATCACATTTAAGAGTTAATCTAAATCCTAGAGTCATATAACCATTTTTAATGATGTCAATGGCCTGTAACCAAATACCAAATCATAATTCTACCAATTTTTATTTTTCCTCAATACTGATTGGTCTTTTCACAAGAGTTAAAACTTGCTTTTGGGACTAGCACTTCTCCAGGATGACTGTTAAGCAAAACAGAAACTTTTAAATGTTTTAAATAACCTGTGTCATTAGGCATCTCTTAAAACTATGTCTTAAAATTTTGTCATACTTGGGAATTTATGGGTATGTACAATTTTATTTCTGCTTTTAAATAACTTGTTTCTTCACCTTGGAACAATAACTGTTAAGAAATATATTCAGATAGGACCAAACTGTATCCCAGAAAAATATTCTTTAAAAAGTCAATCTGAATATTATCTGGCTGTTGGTTAAGTATACCAAAGGAAACATTAACTGTCAGGCTCACACTGTGGATGTTTATTTTCTATACATAACATAAACATTTTCCACAAACTCGTGCTACACATAAACTGGTCCTTATCTTAGTAGAGCTAAGAATGAACGTTTCAGAGATATAGGATATCCTTGTTTTTGTGATATTTTGACCACAAATATTTTAGAAGTATATATTGACACTATTTAAAAGTTTCATAGCTCAACTACACACTGGAAGTTTCAAAAAAGCATTATACACGCATRTATCCTAAAAGTCTCTTACATAACAAGCAATTTTGATATATTATGTCTCATAGTCTTTACTTAAAAAATTATTTTAAAGATAACCTTTAGTTTCAGTATGAGCTAGATAGCTGATTCACAAATGTTCAATATTTTTTTTAAAAAGCATAGGGCTAGTTTAAATCTATATAGTGTCCCCTGCCTATGTGTGAAGGTTTAGTCTTACTGGGAGGTGGAAAAACCTTGAGGCGGGTCTAGTGGGAGGAAATGAGGTCACTGAGACTGTGCCCTTGAAGGGCATATTGAGATCCTGGCCCCTTGTTCCCCTCTTCATGCTTCCTGGATGCCAGAAGGAGAACAGTTTTCTTCCACAGCATGCTCCTGCCAAGATGTACTGTGCCACCCTAAGTCCAAAGCAATAGGTCAAATGATCATACACTGAAACTGTGAGCCAAAATACCCATTTTCTCCTTAAGTTGACTGTCCCAGGGATTTTTGTCACAGTAATGAAAAATTAACACACTTATTAGTAAGATATGAATGAAAATGTTAAAAAAATGCCATCTGTGGTCCCATGATTTGGATGCATTATGAACCAAGGGTTCTGATTAATCCAATTCTGTGAATCTGCTTCATTTAAAAAAATTATTATGAATTTGATTATTATTATGAAGGAAAACTAAAACTGAAATGACTTCAGAATTAGTATTAATGATACTATAAAAAAATTTTCTTTTTTAAATACTTACCATCCTTTATAGTTTCTTTTGTTAAGCTTCTTCCATAGTGCTGATTTTGTGTCTCATAGCTATCAGAGTGAACATGATAAACCTATCAAAAGGAGGAAAGAAAAACAGTGAACACTAAAAAAAGAATACTCTTTGACCACATGAGGTTAACCCAGCAATATGAGTTAAATGTGAGTTAAAAATGAAATCAACCTATATCATTCATTCTAATAGTTTGAAAAGAAAAAAATCATGTACTCATACCAACAGATGCTGAAAAGGTATTTAACAAATATAATATCCACTGTAGATAATCTTATCTATCTCAAGCTACCAAAAGTTAGCATCAGGTTTAAAGGAAAAATRAGGAAGTATTTCTTTTAAAATATAAAAAGCTTCCACAAAAAGTATTCTATCACAATATCTTTTGTCATTGTTATCATCTAATATTGTTCTGGAGTTAGTAGCAGATGCAAATAGATAAGACCAAAAAGTAGAGGTTTAATCATATAAAAAGGACAGTATAGAATTATTACTCTTCATAGGTAATTGCTGTAAACTAGAAATCGACTGAAAAATGAATATAAATAATAAAAATCTGAAATGGTGATTAAGTACAAATTAGTAAACAGAAAACAATCTTTTATAATCATAAAACCAGTCAGAAAATGGAAAAAAGATCCCATTTACAAATGAAATCAAAAGATTAAGACATATAAACTGAGTAAGTATAAAATCTATATGAAGACATCTTTAGAACATTCCTAAAACAAACACCCATGAATGTTCTCCAAAAAGACAATTCCACTTCATAAAAGATATAAATTCTATTCAGATAATTTACAACTAACCACGTAAGTTAATTCTAAAGTTCACATTGAACAGGTGTGGCATACCCCCATAGTCCCAACAAAGAGACTGAAGCAGTAGAATAGCTTGAGTTTAGGAATTTTAGGTGCTAGTTTGGACAATATGAGGCCCCAACTCAAAAAAAAGGATTGCACTTTCTTCCAAAAAACATTTCACTTAGGAAAAAAAAAAAAAAAAAAGGAGAGCCAGGAAAAAACAATAGGACTAACCTTCCCTCCTACCAGATATTAAAAATATTTTAGAATCAAACACATAAGAGAATTTAGTTATGTGATAATAGGATTTTAAACCAGTGAGAAAGGATGGATTATTTATCAAACAATGATACCTTATGCTGTACACCAAAGTAAATTCCAAATATATCGAAGACCAAAATGCACAAAATGAAATGATAAAAGTCCTCTTCTAAAAAAACAAACAAACATGGAAGAAAGAATCCTTGAATAACATAATTAGAGAAGGCTTTTGCAACCAAAACTAAGAAATCAAAATACAAATTGAAAAACTAGCTGAGATTTATTATATGATGAATATAAGAAATGTTTACACTTAAGGAAAAACAAAGGATTTGAAGAGTTCACAGAAATCAAACAGCTCTCAAACTTACCAGGAATATAGCCMTTCCCTCTAAATGTGGCAACTGAAAAAGTCTCTTCTGGACATTGCCAAATGTCTCCCAGGGCAGCAAAATTGTCCCGGTTGAAAGACATGCTCCATGTCAGACAAATTGCCAATACCAGTCAAAATTATAAATGTATATGAGCCCAGCAATTTCCCTCTAAGGATTTATCCCAAGGATATGCTAGCACACTGATAAAATGAGGTAGTCTATGGTCATTCACTGTAACATTACTTATAACAGCAAAAGACTAGAACTAGAAATCCATCAAAGGGAACTTATTAAATTGTGGTATAACAATACTGTGCCACAATAGAAAGATCTCTGGTATATGTTAAGTGGGGGGAAAAGAGCAAAACACAAAATAGTATTCAAAGTAGGTTTTGTGATAATAGAACACACAGATGTCATATTTGTATAAGTTTAAAGTATCTCCACAAGGATACACTGCAGATAAAAAAAACTATAAGATATCCTGTGTGGAGGTGAACTACTCACTATATGTTTCTATAGTTTTTGGAATCTAAACCATAAAAGTATGCATCTTCTCAAAAATTATTTTTAAGAAGCATTAAGAATATATTTAGGGACTGGATTGTGGCTCAGTTGTAGAATGCTCGCCTAGCGTGTGCAAGGCCCTGGGTTGGATCCTCCGCACCACATAAAAACTAAATAAATGAAAACAAAGTTATTGTGTACAATTAAAAGAAATAAATATTTTAAACAAACAAAAAATAATATATTTGGAAATTGATACATTTTAACTTCCAGTCTGATATGGCTAATTACCATTTAAAATGTTTCACCACATTGAAAAAATTCAGACCACATTCTTTCTCACATATAGGCCTATTTAAGGCAGTAAGTGCTAGAGCTGGAASCCAGGTCCTCAAGCATGCCAGGCAAGAGCTAGAACACTGAGCTACACCCCCAGCCAAAGAAAGACAATTTCTTTTGAACAAAATGGTACTATAAATGGCAAAAAAGCACCAAAGATTACATTCGATTACAGGACAAATTATTTTTTAAAAGAACTGTGAAACACAACTAAAACTTTTTTTAAAAAAATCATAATATATATAAAAAAAACATCTATTTTACATGTTTCAAAAGGGTTTAGGGTTAGGGACATAGCTCAGTGGTAGAGCACATGTTTAACATGAGTGAGACCCTGAGTTCAATCACTAGGACCAATGAATAAACAAATAACCTTAAGATTCTAAGGCTGGGTGTGGTGACGCTTGCCTGTGATGCCAGCTACTCTGAAGGCAACATAAAAAGATGGCAAGTTCGTGGCAAGCCTGGGCAACTGACTGAGACCCTATCTCAAAAATAAAATTTAGAACAGGGTTGGGGACATAGCTCAGTCTTACCTAGCATGTGTGAGGCCCTGGGTTCAATCTCTAGCAACGTGTACATACACACACATACACACACACACACACACACACACACACACACACACGTGCAAGATTCTAAAAGCACAGTTGTCACTATTCTATTATTCAGGAGCATATTTTCTGAGCCAAATTAAACCTCACATATGAATACCTAAATTTCACCTATAGACTAAAAGCTAAATAGTTTCAATGGAACTCCTATATTGACTTTCTCTGTTCCTATGTTTATTTCTACTTCACTAAAACTGGAATGGAAAGAGATCTGAGAGTTTCTCCAATCTCTACTTACTGCCAACTTTTGGCCAGTAGCAAAGATATTTGTAAATCAAAAGATRCTCCCACTGGGTGCTATGCAGCTGCCTGCAATCCCAAGGGCTCCAGATGCTGAGGCAGGAGGATCACAAATTCAAAGCCAGCCTCAACCTCAGCAACTTAAAAGTTATACTCCAACCCTGAAAACACATGTGTAGCAACAAACAAAGGAATTTTTAAAAACGTCTAAGGAGATAGGATAAGGAGAATAGAATGCTGAGCAAGCTACTGCTCTTCTTGGTTGGTATTTCACCATATAATCTGCCCTTTYTACATGAATTGATGTCAGGTGCAAAAAATTCAAACATCTAAATACATTTCACATTAAATCTATTGATGGAAAAGAGAAATTTAAATCCCATGTTATAGAAAAACAGAAATATATAAAAAATCTGATTTTTAGACAGTGTGGTCAATAAAGATCAAGCTTGCTTTTGCTCAGCATTCTATTCGCCTTAGCATATCGCCTTAGACATTTTTTAAAAATTCCTTTGTTTGTTGCTACACGTGTGTGTTTTTAGGGTGCGAGTATAACTTTCAAGTTGCTGAGACTGAGGCTGGCTTTTTTCTCCAAGTAATTAGGAATCAGTAATTAGGTAAGGTAACCTCTCCAAAGGGCAAGTATTTCTTTATCAAAAATTTAAGTTTAAGCCAGGCACGATGGTTTATGCCTATAATTCAAGTGGCTTGGGAGGCTGAGGCAGGAAGATCTCAAATTCAAGGCCAGCTTCACCAAGCTGCTGAGGCCCTAAGTAACTCAGTGAGACCCTGTCTTGATATAAAATATTTTTAAAAAGGGCTGAGGATGTTGCTCAGTGGTTAAGCGCCCCAGGGTTCAATCCCTAGTACCAAAGGGGGAAAAAAAAAACAATTAAGTTGCTGCCAAAAATATACTGGAACACTGGACTGGGGTTACAGCTCACTGGTACGACATTTGCCTCATATATATGAGGTAATGGGTTCARTCCTCAGCACCACATAAAAATAAATAAAATAAAAGGTATTGTGTCTCTTTTAGATTTATGTTTAAAAAATATAGATTTTTAAAAAATACTGGAACCACTAAAAACAAAATCATCTACAATCTTAAAATATATGTATTTAAAATGTTTCAGGTAAATTTTGCAAAATATATGCATTTAAAAATTTTTCAGGTGAATTTTACAAATTATATTTTAATTAATTTTGGTGTATAAATGTAATAAATCACTACAGTCACACACCGCATGTTTTCAGACAATACAGAAAATTAAATAACCATGTGTACAACTGTTAGCCCATATGGACACTATCACTATTTAAAAATACTACATTCCAAAGCAAGTCACTTCTCTTAAGTCAGTTATTATTTTTCAGTTTTCTAAATTGGTTCTTTAAGTCTGATACTTTCAAAATAATATACATCCCACCTACCCATATATGATATACTCCAGTCACCTTACATAAACTCTTAATTGTTTCACAAATACGTTCTGCTCTTTCTTGGTTTTCCAACTACTATTACCTTGTTGCCAGTTTAAAAAAACTCCACCTTTTCCAAAATCACTCTATTCCCCATTTTTTTGACTCCTTTGCTTTACAGGCCCTATTTTGTTTCAACCTCATTTATTTTTTAGGTACTAGGGATTGAATCCAGAGGCACTTCAACACTGAGCTACATCCTCAGCCCTTTTTTTTTTTTTTTAATATTCTTCATCGTAGATGGACACAATATCTTTGTTTATTTATTTTTATGTGGTGCTGAGGATAGAACCCAGTACCTCATACATTCGAGACAAGTGCTCTACCACTGAGCTACAACCCCAGCCCCTCAGCCCTTTTGATTTTTCATTTTGAGACAAGGTCTCACGAAGTTGCTGAGGCTGCTCTCCAACTTGCAATTCTTCTGCCTCAGCCTCCTGA